CACACTTCCGGTGATGTCAGGGGGTGTGGCCTTATGACACACTTCCAGTGATGTCAGGGGGTGTGGCATATGCTAATGAGTTATGCTAATGAGCTCCGGCAGCTCTTTTTCTACAAAAAGACCCCTGCACTATGGCCAAACATTTTCAATAAATTTTGAAGCTCAATGGAAGAAGAAATGCCTTGCAAAATACCAAGTTACACTCTGGCTGCTGTTCACTAGCTTGCTAAGTATTCAACAATTTTTTACCTCAGCTAGAATCCTTTGTTGTATCCTGGGTGCATGCATGCCACTCTCACAGGCTTCTATTACAGCCTTTATTAAAGCAATGAGCAATTCCAACATGACTTCAAATATCCTGTAGATCTAGTTAAGCAAGGTGTAAGCACTAGAGATGGGCACAGATCAGCCCACAGACCTAATTCTGTCCTGGACTGGTGGGGTTGTGGTCCATTTGCTCAGTCCGTGCATTTGTGGTTTTCAACAGACCACCTATAGACCACAAATTTTTCCAAGCAGTCCATTGATCCTTGGGGGTGGTGCCTGGGCCAGACAACCCAGGACAGTGGCATTAATTGTTAATGCAACCAGGGTGGATGTGCTTCTACAGTTCATCAGCAGCTCGGGAAAGAACTTTGATGCCTGTAGCTTGGGGGGGGGGATTTGACAGACTCCTTCCCCTTTTGCGCATTGGACCTTGGATCTTTTTCCCTCTTCGAATTTCAGTCTACAGGCAACTTGGAGGGAAGGTAGAAGGCCATCCCAGGGAGGTCTACTGCAACTTGTGAGGGAGGACTTTTGACAGACTCCTTCCACTTTTGCATACTGGACCCTAGGATCTCCCCCCTAATGCCAAACTGCAGGCAACTTGGAGGTCAGGTAGAGGGTCATCCCAGGGAGGTCTTCTGTGACTTTGATGCCTCTAGCTTCTGGGGGAGGGCTTTTGACAGACTTGGTGGGATGAGTCTCATATATGGAGCACAGCGATTGAAGGATATACCTTGTTTAAACGGAGCAGAATAAACAAAAAAGGAGGCGGGGGTGGCACTATATGTCAAGAATGAATACGCTTGCACTGAAATACAGGATTTTGAGAGTTGCTCTGTTGAAAGTGCGTGGGTAAGGCTAGAGCGGGGCGGGAAAGAAGGGGAAATTGTTTGTGGGGGTATACTACAAACCTCCAAACCAACCGGAGGAACTGGATGATGCATTTGTACAACAGCTTGCTAAACTTTCACAGAGACAGGATGTAGTGGTTATGGGAGATTTCAACTATCCAGATATTTGCTGGAAATCTAACTCTGCTAGACATGGGGCAACCCGCAGATTCTTGAATAGTCTTGTGGACAACTCCATCTCTCATAAAGTGGAGGGGGGAACCAGAGGATCTGCTATTCTGGATTTAATCCTGACTAACAGGGAATAATTGGTTGATGAAGTGAATGTTGTGGGATGATCCATGAGGGGGAAATATTAGGTAGTACATGCCAGTAAAGGTGACTGGACTGGAAAGCCTGTTGAAATATTAAGTAGGATCCCGTGGCGGGAAATCTGCACAGGAAGGATGGGTGATGCTGAAAAATGAAGTGCTTAAGGCAAAATCGCAAACTGTTCTGGTAAGAAAGAGAAAGGTGGGAGACGGGTAATAAAGCCAAGGTGGCTGAACAAGGAACTCTCTGAAGAGCTGAGACTAAAAAGGGAAATGTACAGGAAATGGAAAGAGGGTCAGATTACTGAGGGTGAGTACAAGAAGCAGGCTCGAATCTGTAGGGATGGTGTCAGAAAGGCTAAAGCGCAGATAGAGCTGAGGCTTGCGAGGGATGCTAAAAACAACAAGAAAAATTTCTATGCCTGTGTTCATAGCAAAAAGAAGAACAGGGATGGGGTAAGCTCACTGCTAAGGGATGGGGTAAGCTCACTGCTTTGTCTTCATCCCTTGTCAAGCCTTAACAAGGGATGAAGACAAAGCGGAATTACTCAACTCTCACTTTGTGTCAGTCTTTCACCATAAGGCGAGCTGTATGCAAACTGAAGAATGCAGAGCATATGAAGGAAGGAGAAACTGCCAGTCCAGAGTAAGTAAAGAAATGGTTAGAGAGCATCTAGCTGCCTTAAATACTTTCAAATCTCCAGGGCCGGATGGCTTGTATCCCAGGGTGCTAAAAGAAATTGCAGGTGTTATTTCAGAGCCTCTAGCTCTAATCTTTTAGATGTCCTGGAGTACTGATGTTGTGCCTGAAGACTGGAAAAGAGCAAATGTTGTCCCAATCTTCAAGAAGGGAAAAAAGACAGACCCGGGAAATTACAGGCCTGTCAGTTTGACATCAATACCTGGGAAAATTCTAGAGCAGATTATTAAACGCTCTGTCTGTGAGCACCTTGAATGGAATTAGTTAGTTGGTAGTAGCCAGCATGGGTTTATCAAGAATAAGTCATGCCAGACCAACCTTATCTCCTTTTTTGACAGAGTTACCAAAATGGTTGACTCCAGCAATGCTGTGATATAGTGCATCTAGATTTCAGTAAAGCATTTGAGAAAGTTTCTCATGGTATCTTTGAGGGTAAGCTGGTTAAGTGTGGGCTGGATGGTGCAACTGTTGGATGGATTCATGGTTGGTTGAAAAATCGTACCCAACGAGTGCTCATAAATAGCTCTGCATCTACGTGGAGGGAAGTCTCGAGTGGAGTGCCACAGGGCTCGGTCCTAGGCCCGGTGTTGTTCAATG